CAAGAGGTCACAAAATAACCCGCAGAGTTCCTTCTCGGGAGAGAAAAGTCTCCCTCAGATGGTAATGTTTACGACTCCATCAGGATTTGAAAAGTGATCCCCACCGTGTGTGGCAGGAACACAAGGACCTCCAAGAATCTGATGTACAATAAAATCAATACTCCCTGTGTTCAGCCAAGAATCCCATCTCAGTGGTGACACACGGTAGGGGTAGTTTTATGGTTGGGTCTGCTCTAAACCATTTGTTCCAGCGAATTCTAAAGGAAAAAGTCACATCTGTCCATTACCTGAGTCATTCATCCAAAAAAGGGATTTGTAAGCACACAGTGCACTGGCAGGCGTTATCTTCATTCAGTTGAAAGTTTGAGAATAGAAAAAGTTCTGTGGTTCATTTGGAAACACATCAGAAAGTTGAAGCTAATCTGTGCAGGGAAATAGGCTGAATTACTCTAAGTTTATGTGTGGGACTGATGAAATGTTTCACGACAGTCATGAATTCACACTAAATGGTTTATTTAAGGTTTTTATACTTTTCTCAGTTTGTTTTCAATAACCTTTTTAGAGCTTTCAAGAAAATCTGATCATGCTTAGATCATTTTACAATGAATTGTGGAACGTTGTTCAGTCACAAAGTCCTCTTTTTTTAATCACAGCCTGGAATATTTCTTACTGCTCCTATACAAGCATTGTTTTCAAAAATAGATTACAATGGAGCATCACCTATATACTAGATTGTCCATTTTGATACATCTTTTAGGTAAATCTTGGTTTTTGCTATTGACTAATATCTCATTGTTGATGTAACCGTTTAAAGACTCTTCAAGGGGGGCAAAATTAAACCCTTTTTCAAACTAATGGCCAGTTTTAGAATCCACATTAACTCAAGTTAGATACCCAACAGCTTTTCTTGGTTGCAGGTTCCTCAACAAGAGTTTGATTGGTTGCATTTGGTGTTCTCTGTTGCACTTTTGACATCATAATCAAAGATTACTGAAAAAATTAAAGTGATAAACAGTATTTTATCTTTAAATATCATCTTGGGGGCCAGAAATTATGTCAACTAGGGCCACATTTGGCCCCCGGGCCTTGAGTTTGGCACGTGTGTTAGGGTATTGAGTGTAGCTCTGATACAGGCCCTAAAGGGTCAAACAACTGAGAAAACAGAAACTTTAATCAACATAAAAAGCTGACGGCAGCAAAATAACTATAAAAGCAAACTGTAATAAAAAATGAACAATTAGTACAATAAATGACTGAGAACCGTGTGTTAAGCTTGGAGGGCTGATTAAAGAGTGAGTGCAGGTGAGGTTGAAGAGATGACGTGTAGCTGTGGGGTGTTGATAGCTGAGAGCTGAAGAGAGGAATGGCCAGAGACACAAAGCAAACTAAAAACAGCTGAATGCAAGGACATATTGGTAAATATAGATATGGCTGAAAAGCTTTAAATATACAAAATAAAAATAAAAACAAATAAAATACTCAACCGTACCTTATGTCATGAGGTATTGAACTGTTTTGTTTTTAACAGATGATAATTACCGGTATATTAGAATAACTTTTACATGTATACTGTTTTGTTTTTTTTAGCAACTTTAGAAAAAACTTTTGTTAAGCTGATTGTTGTACAAACACACAATACAACAGAGTAAAGTCATGATACAAGTTTGCAAGAGTTCAACTTTGAAGCATAGTTTGTAAGACTGTCAGGTCAGTGGACGGTGTTTAGTCACAGTGCTTCTTCTGCAGCAGATTTATGTCTTTATAGCTGAATAAAGAGGATTTTTGGGTCAAAAGCATCAGATTTTACTGTAGGCACACAACTAATGAGATACTCTTGTTCTCCCTAAAGTTGCTTGGAGGATTTGTATTTTATTACTTTAAATTTATGAGCAGCTTTTCTTGTAATTGCTTTTAAGAAGTAACGGCCTAGGATTCCATGAAAGGAGGCATATCAGCCACCAACTATAGTATCATGGCAGAGTTTTAGAGATACAGAATTTTAGCCATTTTGGTGTTTTTTGTTTTTTTTTAGCTCATTTGTTTGTGACAGAAATCCTGAACTGTATTGAGTTCAAAAGTTAAACAGTTGTAAATGTGCATCCATTGATTTCTGTCTGCGGTTTTCATTTTGATTGGTCCAGTGTTTTTATTTGATACGTTAGTAATAGACAGGCACAGATGACCGAAAGAACAAGATCCAGGATACAGACGGCTGAAAAGAGTTTCCTCCACAGCTGGACTCCCCTTAGAGATAGGGTGAGTAGCTCAGTTATCGGGGAGAGACTTAGAGTAGAGCCGCTGCTCCTCCACATCAAGAGGAACCAGTTGAGGAGGTACAGTCATCTGGTAAGGGTGCTCCCTGGGAACCTCCCTGCTGCAGCTGAACAGCTGTTCACCGTGCAGAACGGAGAAGTGGGCGTGGCCAAGAGCGCTTGCAGGTGGCAAAGAGGGGAGTGGTAGCACAGAGGTTAGAGAAGCTGGGCCTGTGATCGGAAGATCGCCGGTTCAAGCCCCAGTACCAACAACATGAAAAATGTGGGTTGGGTAGGTGAAGCACCTTTACCTGCCCCCACCCTCATTCGTCCCACTCTGGGCCCTTGAGCAAGACCCTTAACCCCCACCATCTGCTCCTCCAGGTATAGCAGCTCTCTGCTCTACACAGATGGCTGTGGTAGCTCGGTGTCTGTGGTTGCGTCAGGAAGGGCATCCGGGGTAAAAATAACTGCCAAGTCTTCGTGCGACTTAGTTCGCTGTGGCGACCCTTAATGCAGGGAGCAGCCGAAAGAGGGACTACTGAACAGAGATCATCATTGTTCGTTGAGAAGCCTGATCACTACAGGGATGAATTGTTTTTCTCTCTGTCCTACATCTGGGCAGCAGATACTGGCATCCAGATGGAAGCAACCTGAACTCATCATAGAGTGGGTGATCAGGATCTGCCAGAATAGGGAGGGGCTTCGGGAATGTCAGAATCAGAGGAGACTCTGTGGAATACCCAGGATGACCTGGAAATGTCGCAAGGTCCTCCCAGAACAGCTAGAAGAAGTGACTGGGGAAAGAGATGTCTGGGACTGTTGCCCCCATGACCGACTCCAGAACAAGAAGATGATAATGAGTGGATGGATGGACGGGCACATATACACACAGCCACAGGAAGAAATAAAAAAACATTTTTGTGTCCGACTTTTTACAGTGAAGTGACAAGAAGTAGGTTCCTACAAAACTGAAGTGGGACTTCTGTTCGTGCATGTGGGTCTGTTCATCTATTTATTATTATCAATGCATGTTTACTTGTAATTGCTCAACATATTCAGGTGCTCTGAAGTTTAAGAGCAAGTGAGTCTGGAATCAAAGGACTTTTCTGTGAAACATGCATACATAGCCAAATAAACCCAATCCCAATTATTAACGCTGGTTCTGATAGATGTCACTACAAAAAAAAACAAATTAAACAAAATGAGTTTTTGTGTGCACCACAAAAAATGATTTGCACATTGTGTCATCATTTGAGCCACGCTGCTTTCTTTAAACAGAAATGTTCTCTTAAAATTTTTATTTGAACGACACGGTTATCAGCACACAGTCGGCTGAGTTGTTCTCTGGAGTCAGAATCCAGAATAAAAGATAAAGAAACATCAAAGCCCTCCCTGTGAAGTGTGAAGATTCCTGCCCTCTATTAAAAGGAGGCTTTCACACAAACAACATGACAAGTGTAATCCTCCTGACAAATCAGTAAATCTCCCTGTTGTTTGCACCTTTGTGCTTGATCCCCGCTGAGACGTGTCCCCGAGAGACACGGCCTGCTTTATTAACCAGTTTTTGCCTTAATTAACTAATGGGATTGTTTTAACCATCTAAGAAAAGAATAGCCCACAGGAAGACAAACACCAACTCTTGAGGATTGTGTGTCTGTGTGTGCGTGCTTAAAAAGCTGAACGCCTGCAGTCTCACTGTCTGACTCAATGTGCAGCTTCACACACACACGAGTCAATAAGATGTCTGTGTTAATGTGCACAAATGCATACATTTGGTGTGATTGATTGCTGTGCAAAAGCATGTGTGTGTGTGTGTGTGTGTGTGCTCATGCACGTGAGCGTACATTTGTAATCTAATGCAGCCCAGGCTCACTCTCCACTTTAATTAACGTGCTTTCTTGCAAGACTTTCTCTGCAACACGAAACAATTTTACCTGATGATGCAAGCAGCTGAAAACACCGCCTCGGTTTTCTGCCTCGCCTCCTCACCTAATGCTTTTCTTTGTACATGAGATCATTAATGGAAGCCGGCTCCACACTTGTAGTTTTTATATTTGTGTATTTTGGCAGCGCTGCAACTGCCAAAAGGCTTATTTTGCTGCAGGAAATATGAGTGTGTGTAAGCAAAATCCTCTGTACTGTGTGATGAAAAAGCTGATTGTGGCTTGGCATTGGTGTTCCTGCAGCACAAAAGCTGAATTGCACGGCTTTGCACGTGCATGCACGTTTCAGCGTGCATGTTTTAGCCTCGTGAAGTCCAGGGAAAAACCTTGAAAAGTGTGCATCGAAGAGACTAAACAGATGCAGAAGACACAGAGGAATGATAAATATGCAAATTTGAGCAACTGAGCTTTGAGTCTAGCCAGAAATTCAAATGATTAAAAGAATCGTAGAAGCTAAAATCTCAACATTCGTCTATGTCCTTCCCTTTGGCTTGTATAGAATACTGCACATGTGTATAAACGCAGACACTTTACTCTTCTGTTGGGGAAGCTTCTCTCAGATTGGGTTCATTTAAGAACACACTCATAAAAACCCATGCTAAGAAAAGGACTGTAAACCAGCATATACTCAATAAAAGCACCCAACAAATTATCTGAACAGCCGCTGTATAGACAAGCATGAGTCAATAAGACCAGAGAGGCTCTGTCTAGCTCAATACAGCATAATAAAAGATGGCAGCTCATGGTCATGTGCAATGAAAGGAACCTAAAATTGATTTCCCTCTCCGTCCTTCTGTTGCAGTGTGGTGTGTGCGTTTCTCCCAGGAGCCTGCTGATCAGTCCGTGGTGCTGGGGGAACGGGTGGTGCTGTCCTGCGTGGTCTTCAACTACACCGGGATTGTACAGTGGACCAAGGACGGCCTGGCCCTGGGCATCGGAGAGGGCCTTCGAGGTGAGAGGCGCGAAAATAAATCTGGAATTAGACGGAGAAAAGAACTATCAGCTTCACCCAGCTGCAGGGATCAAAGCGAAGCGAGGAGGAGGAATAACTCAGATATGGATTCGGTTCAGTTCTGACTGAAAGAGCCCTAACAAAAGTTAATATGGTTGAAAAGTTTAGAGGTCCTTTAACATTAGGGAAATGACCGCCGTACCACGAATAAGAAGAGTTAAACACCAAAAAGTGTGTGAGTGACAATCTGGGCAAAAGGAGTCCAGTGTATCATGTTGAATTAGAGAAAATCCCCCACTCCGCTGACAAAAGCAGACACATATTTGCATTTACATTTTAAGCCGACACTTTGAATGATTTCAAGGCAGCGCAACAGTAGAACGCCCTACACTTAAGAGTGGGTAAAGCAGCACATGCAAAGGGTCAAACTCCCACCAGAGCCTGACGAGATTTATTTTTAATGATGAAAATAAACTCAAACATGCAAAATGAAGAATTAGAAGCCAATAAGACAATAACTTTCCTTTTATTCCCCAAAGTATACAAAAAATAATACTTTTTACCTCTTTGGCTAATTCAGTAGAAGCACAATGTCCTCAAACTGCAACAGGGAATGGCTGTGGTGTTATTGTGTCCAGTTTTGCAAAAATTATCAGCAGTTTAAAATATTTGAAGAAAATAATGTTTCTTTAAAGGCCTGTTATTCCATTCCACCTGCTGCCTTTCATGCTGATGTCTTAGACTACCGTATTTTTCTGCCTTTAAGTTGCAGTTTTTTTGCATAATTTACATGCCCTGTGACTTATACGGTGAAGTGACGTGTTTATGGATTTTTTTTCCCAATATTTATAAACCAATTTTTGGCTGAGATATGACTGTTTTCATTCATTCTGACATTGAAAATATTGAACACTACCATTTTCCGCCACTAGGTGGCATTCAAGTAGTTTGGCATGCCATTGTGTCATGTAATAGGTAAAAGTGGCTATTAATGACTCAATCGGCTTACCATAGCCTGCCACCTTCGTCCAGCTCGCCTGGAGCAACCGTCAAATCAGCTTCATTTCACTGAGCTGCCCCGGTGAAATGCAGCTAATTTCACCATTGAAGTGCATTTATTAAGTAAAAGTTCAACCGAGACACACCTTTACTATAAAGTTGAGCAAACAAAGTTTTAAATGTTAATCTTGTTAAATTTTTTAAGAAATGCGCAGCATTCCTCCTTCCTGATTTCCTCCCTCTGCGCGCTCCCGGAGAACCGAGGTAGCGAATACCTTTGAAATGCAGCTGATTTGACCTTTACAGTACATTTATTAAGTCAAAGTTTGACTGAGACAAACCTTTACTATAAAGTCGAGCAAACAAATAATTGTTTTTAGGTTGTTAAATTTAAAAAAAAAAAAAATGCACAGAGTCCTCCCTCTGCACGCTGCTTCCACGAATCGGCTTTTGAAATGCAACTGATTTGACCGTCAAAGTGCATTTATTAAGTCAATGTTACACTGAGACACACCTTTGCTATAATTTTGAGCAAACAAATAATTGTTTTTAAGTGTTAAACTTGTGAAATTCTTGTTAAAGTCCTCCCGTGCACGCTTCCGCTGCCACCATTTGGCAGCCAATCGATTTTTGGCACAACTTCGGCCCACTTTTCCAGGTTGTCAGTGGTGGCACATAATAGATGCGATGTGTACGGCAGAAAATATGGTAATGCTGTCTTATAATGTCTTATAATGACAAATGAGTGGAGTTGGAGTGGCTTTAGTCAAACTTTGTTAAATAGTGCTATCTCATGCAACATTCTGAAATCTTGCAAGATATACTCAAAGTCAGTGTTGTGAATGATTCTGTACAGGTGTAGCTGTAATATCTAACCACTGTAGTCCCTGACAGTCTGAAGGTTTCAATAAAATCTATTTATTGATTTAGCAAATGGTACAGACACAAACAGGCAACAACATTAACGCTCCACCTTTGTATTCAGCAAACAATTAAAATGTATGTTTTGGATTTGGTTTAATTTTTACATGGTGCAACACTTTTTAATTATTCAAACCACATTTATGACAGCCACACGCCTAAACAAACAAAATACTTTTTTTTTCTTTGTTTTTATAATCGTTTCAATTAAAATAAGGCTGACTGTGAATATTGTGGCATCTCTGTTCTGCTCTAATTACACCTGTTAATGCTTCTATTGGTGCAACAACAAACAAAGCCTTTTTCTTGATTTCTCTATTAATTAAAATGAGTATGAAACAAAAAGGTAAACACGAAAAATGCCCATTTGTTTACTCGATTGCCTTCAGAAGCAGCGATTTGCGCGTCATAGCTGCAGTGGCACCTCACTCCAACTTTTAACTTTCCGTTCATCTGTCAGCTCAGGAAAGGAGAGGAAGTCTCGGCCCAGGCTGGACTCAGCAGAGGGAGATGAACTGCTGATTTAGATTGATATCTTTTGGCAGTGAAGAGAGCACTCCGAGGAAGTCTAGAGTCCCACCAACACATCCTCTGCCAGAGGAGGCAGAGCGTCAGAGCAAGTTGAGAAACTCCTCCGTGACAAGGTGCTGTGTCTGGGTGACATGCTCCTCGAGCTGGTTCAGACTCTGGACGCTGAAGATTCAGCGTGGCTGACACGACTTTTCACGTCACAGAACGGCAGAGAGGAGTGAAAGTGTCCTGTTATTTCAGAGGTGGCCCTGATCAGCGTCTGTAGATAAGCAATGCCAGGAAAGGAGACTTTAGCAGCTTGGCTGAAGTGCATCCCAACATTTACGAGGTGAGGAGTTGACAGATTAGAAAACTTCAACAGGGCAAAAACAGACACGCTCAAGCCCGACAATTTTGCGAGTTGACACTTAGAATCACTAATTAAACTAAAATCAACTTCATTTTTGAATTGGGCGAGGAAAAATGTGTTTTTGGGAACAATAGATACATGGAGCGCATGAAAAGGTCAGAACTGAGGTTCACCTCCTGACTGTTCTTGTAGAGAGGAGACCGCGCTAACCATCACACGACAATGGAGCTGCAGAATTCAGTGTTTTATAGCCACATGGCTCAAAAGGTAATGTCTCAAAGGTTGTGACTGCTGGTGACTATGCAGTTCAATTCAGGTTATTTATAAAGCACCAAGTCACAACACAAATTATCTCAGGGCACTGAACAGAAACATTCATATATTTAAAAAGTCATTTAATAACATTATTTATCTGAGGAGCAGACAGCTTTGAGTTTAACTTCATCGCAGACTCATCTTAAGCAAGCATGAAGGCGACAGTGGGAAAATCTCCCTCATGGGCGGGGTCTGCAACCTGCGGCTCTGGAGCCACATGTGGCTCTTTGGTCCCTCTGCAGCGGCTCGTTCAAACTTTGACCAAAACCGACATAAAACGGAATTTTATTGGTTCTTATAACAACTAAAAGGGCTAGTTTTAGTAGTTTTCTTGTAATTTATTTAGCAAATATATGAATACTAGAAACATTACAAGGAGTAAAACATACTCCCTTTCACTTTACGTTTTATTTCTTCAAAGTATTACATGTAGTTTTTCTACAATTTAAAAAAAAATCACATAAGAATGCATAGTTTATTGTTTTAGTTTTTAGAAACGGGGCAAAAACTATATTATTTTTTCTTTCTTTACAAGAATCTCACATTTTATTTTGTCTTAGAGATGTAAAAATATCAATAAATGTTAAAAATCATTAGATATTTTTAGTTATATAAAATCACCCCTACTGTCCAGAAAAACGTCCTCCAACACACTTAAAGTGGTCCGTGGGCCACCAGTTGAGAATCCCAGTTGTAGCAGGTATTGTGGCTCTGGACACGTTTAGTGAACAAAAGGGCAGTCCCACTCTCAAAAACAGAGTGTCTGTTTTCCAAAACTAAAATAGGAACACGTTCCACGAGAGAGATAACCCCAGGAACAGATCAAACGGTACAGGCTTGATGATTTCTTTAAGTTGTGCTGAAACAAACACGTCACAGAAAGACATTCACAATGTGGATGAATCTTGTGTTCAGCTCAGTTTAACACTCCGGTTCAGCAAAGGTCAGCACGTCTGTTTTTCCTGTATGCCCCGCTTCTTCACCTTTAAAACTGCACCTTCATCATCCCTTGCATCCCAGCTTCCCTCTCGTTTCTTAACCGCCTCTTCCTTCTCCTTTGTCCTTTCTTCCTTGCATCCTTTCCTCCTCCTGCTCTCTATCAGTCAGTAACACTCTACTTTGTCCTTGTAGCCTCTTTGCGAGCACCAAAAACGCACACTTGATAAACATGTTGTCCTCTTAGTCTCTTTTTCCTTGCATCTCAGCCATCCATCACCACCTTCTGTTCATTTTTTAGGCTCAGCTGTCTGTGCTGCCATTCTTCCCTTCGCCCTTGACTGATGTGTTCGTCTGGATCTCTTGTTTATGCTCTGCTCGTGGATGCAATTTTAAGCACGGGTGGAAGATCGTAATCAGTTTATGATCAAAAAGAAATGATGCAGATGGGTGATATCAAGATCTATGGTTTATTCTTTTGAGTAGTCTTATGTGTTCATTGTAAAGTTTATTCCTTTTTGCTTATTATGTTATTTTCTGTGTTTTATGATCCTTGTATTTGGTTTTGTTCCTGTGTGTTTTTACCATCATTATTCAGTTTTTTTGCTCCTCGGCTCTTGCCCCGCCCACTTCCACCTGTTCCCAATCAGCTGTGTTTTAGTTTTCCCATTATCGTTAAATCTTTGTCCGTTTTATCGAGCTGCTTGTGCACGTCTGCATTGCCGAGTCCTGCGACACAAAACCCAGACAGTTATAGTGCATTAAAGTTGTTTTTTCTTCTACGTGCCCTGCATGATTATATATTTTTGACAGCGTGGGCGTGCAGATTTTGCAGTAAATTCATACCTGCAGTTTGCTCACCCACACACATGGAGCAGATCTGCATTTAAGCACCAAAACAATTCAGCATCACTTGGATGTGCTGACGTGAAATGAATTAAAACGGAATAGCTAATCAACGCACAGGTGCATGTCTGAAACTCAGTGAAAACCTAAAACACTGTTCTCTACCTGCAGGAACCAGAGGAGCTTATTGTTCTTCTTCAAGCTCTTCCTCCTCTTCTCCTTCTCCCTGGGGTGCTTTCACCTCTGTGGTTGCTATGCTGCAAGGTGCTAGAGTGGATGATGTAATCTCCACTAATACTTTTGCCCCCCCACTTCTCCTATTCACCCTCCTCCTTCTCCTCTCTGCACCCCCAACTGCCCCCCTCCTCCCCTGCCTTTGCCATCTGAATCCATGATGTCATGTGAGGATTGGGCACGGAGGATCAATGAGTGCCCCCTAGTGGGACGTCACGCTCGATTATGTCTTTGTCTGAGAGGCGAGGGTTCAAACACAGAGGAAAGATGAGGCGGGAGGGGGGGCTGTAATTGGAACAGCGCTGTCTGACGTTCTGCAGTTTGTAAATCACACAGGGATTGATTTGGCATTTTTCTATCTATGAGCCTGTTTGATCAGTTTGTGCAAAAATCCTGCAGGTTTTTATCTCCATGTTATGGCGTGAGTTCTTTACGAACGTGTCATCACCACCATGTGATGTTCGAGTTAAAGACTCGCCATCATGGTCTCCAGACGTTTCAGTGCAGGCAAAGGGAGTTTTGAAAACAACGTTGAATATTCTCCGTTTAGTGTGAGATAAAGCGTCAGCTGTTCTCTTCTGCAGGAGTGAACTTGCTTAAAAGATCTAATTGTTTTACACCAAATGCAACCTGGGCTCAAACCTTCCACCTCAGGATTATGGGACAGCGGCAGTGACCGCTGAGCTACTGTTGCCCAGACATTTCAAGTGCATGTCTCATTTGTCGCTTTCCGTCTTTGATTCATGTGCAGTTGAGATTCAGATTTTTTCTAATTCATATTGTGCTGTAAGCAAATCAGGTACTGGCCTTTTGGCACATTTACAACAATATCAGGCAGAAATCCATTTTAACTATAAAGTAGACAACAAATCTGAAGATGAAGGTAAGATTTTACTCCTTAATCTAAAAAAAAAAAAAAAATTGTGAACGTTTCCAGTTTAAAATGTATTTTTTTCTGACATTTTTACACATAAATTTAGTTTAAAAAAGCAGATGCATTCATATATAATTTGCAAAGATCTCTCTCTGCTGGAACTCAAAACAAACCAGCAGTGGATGATGCGTTTCGTGCATTTCTGTCCCAGAAATGCCCACAGAGCTTCCCCTCAGTTGCGTGTTTGAAGTCATCTGTCTGTCAAGCAGCTCTGCTCGTTTGCCAGACGTATGGGTCTCCTCTCAGCCACTGTTGACAGGATAAATACTTATTTAAAAAATGGTTGATTTACTCAGAGAGCAGAAATGTTGGTTGGTGAACTTGAACTCAAAAATTGCAGACAAATTCCCAGGACAGGCAGGCAGGATGAATCCAGAGCATTTTAGTGGTCAAAAATCAACACTAAGTGACGATCAGGAACAGAATATAGGGTTTGTCTGACAAGGACACCATAAAGTCTTTTGAACTGGGATGAGTGGGTTAATGCTAGACGCAGGTGAGCTAATGAACAGAGGGATGCAGTTGTGTGACTTTGACTTCTAATAGAGCTGAGAAAAACAGTCTGAGGCCACGATCTAATTTCAAACTGCTGGAAAAGTCAGAAATTCAAAGAATAAAATTAATTTTACAACCATGACAAGAAATATGCTTCTTTTGTTCCTTTAACTGGTAAAATCAGGCAATTAAACCATGTGAAGCTCAATTTATTTCACAAATATTGTTCAAAACCATCCTTTTTTAAAAATATTTACCCAAAAAATAAATGAAAAATAAAGGTTTGAGTCGTGACATGAATTGTCAGAAAACAAAATGTCCTAAGATGACTCGGACATCAATCTCCACCAAGATAAACTTTTATTTTTTTATTACGTTTTTCAGTAAAATGTAAAGTTTTGCCAAGTTTTTGACTTTCCAGTAAGTTCAGTCATTCTTTTCTTTATGTTCCTTTATGTCATCCAGCCAACAAACATATATAAATTAGGAAACGGAGCAAGTTTCCCAGGATTCAGCATCTCTTGGTTGAAAATTTATATTTCACATTTTTATATTTCCTCAATTACCAAAATAAATCTGTATGTTCACTACATGGATGGATGGATGGATGGATGGATGGATGACACTGTGCCTCCCAGGCGAAATGAAGCTGGTTTGACCATTAAATAAATGCATAATAAATGCGACTTATACACCAAAGCTACTTATGTATGTTTTTTGTTTGTTTTTTCCTCTTCATGATGCTTTTTTTGACTGACGCGACTTATACTCCGGAAAATACTGTATATATTTAAAGACAAAAACATCCCATTATGTCAGAAAACAGGTTTTGGTTAAAGAAAAACCAATTTAAAACACATGATTCATAATCCATGACTCACTATTTTCACTGTTCCGACGTGAAACACCATTCAGTATTTCTAACACACATCCATTACCTTCAGACATGGCAGATTTTTCAGAGCACTGAGCCATAATGATGACTCACAACTGCTGTGGCACAGTTGAATGTGCTTCTTTCTTCACTTAAGCAATTATTAACAAAAACTGTTAGTCATCTTTGTTGGTGTGGCTTTCTGCGTGCACAAAGGATGACAACATTAAGCGAGAAGCGTGACTAAAAGTGTTGCAAATGCACGTACTCCAACAACTACATACAGTAATCCCATTTTGTCTAATGATTTCCAGCTGTTTCCTAATTGCATCTCCTGTGTGTGACTCCTGCAGCCTGGCCCAGGTATCGGATTCTGCGGGCGCTGGACATCGGCCAGTACAATTTGGAAATCTCCAACTCGGAGTTGTCTGATGACTCTCTTTATGAGTGTCAGGCCACGGAGGCTGCCCTGCGGTCCAGGAGAGCCAAGCTTAATGTACTCAGTAAGTGAACTGCTTCTACAGGAACACAGGTCTTGTATGTATTTCTCCTTTAATTTCATCGCACAGTGAAACCGGAGATGAACCAAATCAAGAATTATCAAGCTGTTTGCTTGTGAAGAGCAGGTTTCCTGAGTTAGTGGGTGAACTCTGATGAAGTTTGAAATAACCTGCGTTAACATTCCTCGGTCTTTTCAATCAGAGTATCTGCCCCCACCTCACGCTTCACTAAGACTCACACAAACAAAAATCCAGTAAGACCATCAAAACGTTGAACTGCTCCAACATTGACCTGAAAATCAGAAAGCAGCGAGACCTTTACACCCTAAATGTGCTGAAGTCTTTAAAACCAGACGAAATAGCATGAAACAGAATTGTCAGTATTTTTTTCATAGCGAAAGGTCATGTGTTCTTGAATTAAAGATCTGTAAGCAAAGCTGGTGACCAAATTCAAGGATTCAAGGCTCTTTATTTATTTGTCATACTCACCACATGTGGTACATGTGGTGGAACGAAACTGTGTACACAAGGTCCCAGTTACATCCAACAAAAGTATTAAAATGTAAAAAAAAAAAAAAAAACAGTAATGAGATCTAAGATATGAACTAAGAAAAACTTTAACTAAAAATACACTAAGCACTATAGTAGCATAAAAACAATACACCGAACAGCAGCACGAACATGAGTCTGTGTGAGCAGATGAGCACGCATGAACACAGCAGCAAGAAACAGATCAGCAGCAACATGAAACAGATCAGCAGCAGCAAAAAACAGATCAGCAGCAACATGAAACAGATCAGCAGCAGCAAGAAACAGATCAACAGCAACATGAAACAGATCAGCAGCAACATGAAACAGATCAGCAGCAACATGAAACAGATCAACAGCAACATGAAACAGATCAGCAGCAACATGAAACAGATCAGCAGCAACATGAAACAGATCAGCAGCAGCAAGAAACAGATCAACAGCAACATGAAACAGATGAGCAGCAACATGATGTGATTTTTTCCACAGTGCTTATTCTGGTTAAAAATTCATGAGTCTAACATTCTCAGGGTAGAAGCTGTTCCTCAGTCTAGTGGTTCTACATTTAATGCTCCTCAACCTCCTTCCTGAGGGGAGCGGGGCAAAAAGTGTGTGTGCTGGGTGAGTGGGGTCCTTCATGATGCAGGTGACTCTCTTCCTTCATCTGGAGGTGTAGATGTCTGTGATGGTGGGGAGACTGACTCCAACATCTTCTGTGCAGCCTTCACCACTCTCTGCAGAGCTTTTCTTTCTGCATCTGTGCAGCCTCCATGCCACACGTTGATGCTGGAGCACAGGATGCTCTCCACTGCACACCTGTAGAAGGAGGTGAGGACTGAGCTTCCCAGACCAGCTCGTCTCAGCCGTCAGAGGAAGTAGAGTCTCTGATGAGCTTTCTTGATCAGGCTGGTGGTGTTGTTGCTCCAGCTGAGGTTGTCATTCAGGTGTACACCCAAGTACTTGTAGCCAGAGACCACTTCCACCAAAATGCCAACTACCACAAGTGTCTGTTCATATGGAAGCAGCCGAAGTGACTAAAAATTGGCCAAGCGTTAAGCTTGCTAACCATATTTGTCTTCCTGCACACCCTATAGCTGCCGTCTAATGAGGTCAGTCATGTGACTCAAGCTCTCACGTGGTTTTGACTCATCCGAGTACTTTCTTTACTGTACATAAGAGTTCCTTACCGCAAAACAGCATATTAATAAATCCTTAAAACTATTGTAATAAATTATTTTAAAATGCACACTTTGGTGTAGTTTAAAAATAACCTTGTTATTTCGTTTGATTCCACACTTTGCTATGAGTGCCTTCAAACAGAAAGCTGTTGCTTAAACATAATTTAGATCATATTTTAACTTCTCTTCTACTTATGATTGGAAGAAGCTTGCCAGTGGTTCATTAAAATGTCTGTTAATAAAACACCAACTCATGGCGTGAATCATTAGAAATGCATTCAGGGTTTTATGCGTCACTGCCCATCCTGTTCAGGGACGTCATGTTCAACGCACAATCCTGCACTTCGACATCAAACGTTCCTCCATCAAACATACAAACTGCCTTCGAGAACGTTGGAAGAGTTTGGAGCTTCAAGAAGTATAAATGCATAAAGGAACATGCACAAAACCAATCACATACATTATTTTAAACTGAAAGGAAAAACTTAAGTGAAACTAAATCAACTGTGATGAGAAGCAAGGAATCAAGAATGGGACCGACAAGTCTAAAAAAAAATGGATGTGCTGGTTTGTATTTACCATCAGATTTGATCAAGTATGCAGATAAAGGTTCTTTGTTTACACCTTTGAAGATTGTGTATCAATATATCTGAAAACCTTCTGGAATAAACTCTTTAAAACTGAACTGTCTGATTCAGTTCAGGTTTTCCTTTTCGTGTGGTTTCTTAGTTTGAAATGAGTGCCTTAAATTCACATCGTTGCTGAATAGAAAAAAATAATAAACTAACATTACGTAAGCTGCCTTTTCTCAAACTAAGTCTGGTAGATGTTAACTTTTATTTTTTTGTTGTATTAAATTATAAGTTGACCTCTGCTCCGTTTCATGCTGTGAAATTGCTTTTATTTCCAGGTGTGGATTTCTAAAGTGTTAATTGGAGGATGTCTTGGTTCAACTGCAGTTGTGATTTTTTTTATTTCTCCCAGTTGCTGAGAAAAGTGAGGGGTTAGTTTTCTGTCAACACTGAATTTCAACATCAGTTATCTGAAAGTCTCGCCGTCAATTTAAAAACGGAACAGACGTGCAAACTGCTTGAAATGCTCATAAATAAGGAGTAAAATGTGCTGAAAATAGTATCCATGTTGAATTTTTACAAAAACAAGCTGAAAATAAGTTTAAAAACAGATTAAAGAGGCGAAAAGTTCAAATCTGCTTGAGAGCACTGCTGCACTTTGTAGAAGGTGAAAAAATAAAAAAACCTACTTTCTAAAGCGTGAGGAACCAACGTTCGTTTGACCTGTGGGAGAAAAACTGTAGGTGTAGTTCTTTAAACCTCAGTGCCCTTGCGTTAAAAGTCAGAGTATGGATTTGTGTCTGTCCTGCAGTCCCCCCCGAGGAGCCAGTGGTGGAGGGAACGCCGGAGCTTCTGCTGATGGCGGGAAGTCCACACAACCTGACCTGTCTGACCCGCGGGGCCAAGCCTGCAGCTCACATCCAGTGGACCAAGAACGGAGTCCCTGTGGATGGAGCGCACCACTCCACGGTGACTCACACACACATGCACACACGCAGATAATTACATTTGGACATATGTGGCGGAAAAGTCACGCATCATAAAACACACATAAAGTCAGGATGAGCTTATTGCACTAAAATTATATCTGCAAAAGGTTTACTAATGGACTTGAAAACGACCTTCTAATACATTTTCCAACGCGTCCAATATGCTAATCGTTAAACTCTGCTGTTTTCTTGTTCCTGTGGTAACAAAGTCGTCTTAGAAGATGGGAAACACGTTTATCAAAAATCCACATTGAATGCTTATAAATGCAGGTTTTAAATCAGGAGGACAAAACAGTGTTGCGCCTTCAAAACAGATGGATAGGAAACATTGGGTTTGCAATTTCTCCTGTATTTTCTGCAGCAGAAATAAGTGAAATGCACTAATATTTGCATGTAAAACCAAAAGAAGGGATTCTGCGCACAAAAAAATATAAAGAGATGGAGGAGCACATGTAGGAAGGACTAAAATAACGTGTTTTATTCAGTAACATCCAACCAATTTGTTTAATGAAGGCAGTGATTAGTGTGTTTGATTAATATTTCTTTAATCTTTTGTTGCGTCATCAGTACGTGTGGACAAAGGTCTTAAGTAGCTTTCACAGTTCACATGTTTAAAAATGTTTGTGAACCACATCAGCTGTATCTAAATAACTGTAACGAACTTGTCAGTCTCTAAAACAACGTCAGTAAGCTGATATTTGAGTATTGATTTGATATGTAGTTATCATTTTTCACTTCAAGTAGTTTAATGAGGAAATCTAATATGTGATTTTAAAGAATATATTTTTGTCTAAACTTTACGTGCTAATTCTGCTGAAGCTCGGAGATACAGAGAAAGACATTTTATGGTTATTACTCGGACTTTGAACAGAAACCGAGGTGCGATTTAATGCGGTGGTAGCTGAGAGTCATTCACAACACACACACTGTCAGCATGAGGTTGAGCTCGTTTTCAACGAGATGTGAGCAAAATGGCTACTTCACTGTTTTTTTCTCAACATTAGATGATATAGATCTAAAACTCTGGCCTGAAGCACGGAGAGCGATACGTTTTCCTAAATGCCAGGCCTTTGATTTCAACAAGTTTTTGCAGCTCTGTCTAAAACAAAAGAGTTTTTGGCGATTAAATATGTTTTATGTGTTTCTTTTAGTCTTAAAATGCCTGCATTTCTAAAAAAAATTTAAAAAGGGAAGAGCAAGAAGTTACTGTGTCATCTGCATTCTAGAAATACAGTTTTTACTCTCTAAACCAAGGCTATTCAACTAAACTGCTCAGGGGGCCACAGTTACTGAGAGCCAAGAGCTAAGAGGCCGGACATCCAGCCGTTATTGTCATTAAGTTTGTTTTATGGTTTAAAATCTAGTGTTTGTTAAAAGTTAACCCACTGGTGAGCCGACCTGAGCTCACCCATAGGCCACCAGTTGAATAGCCCTGCTCTAAGGTGAGTTAAAGCAGTTTAGCTACTAAAATGTTTGTATTATTTATATAAATTCTCAACAACAACAACAAAAAAAAGTTCAATACCACTTTACAATAAGGTTCCACTTATAAATAGCTATAAATAGTTTATAGATATGTTATTAATTGCTCTATAAATACTTTATAAATCATTAAAAATTGTTTATTATGCATTAATTAAGGGTGACAGTCAAAACTGAGCAGTTTCTTGCCAAATAATGAGCCAAATCTCTTCACCTATATATTTCATCTAGAGTTGTTATATTAAACATTTCAGACTACGTTACTACCTTGTAAGAACCATAAACATTCATAAACCTATTTTTTTAGGATATAATATTAGCTGTAGTTACTTATAATGCAACGACAAAGTACAGTATTATATGTTAAAGAAATAGGTTTACTTGTTGTGCATACAAGGTAGTAACTTAGTCTGAAAAGTTTAAAATAACAACTATAGATTAAATATATAGGTGAACAGATTTGGCTCACTGTTTGTCAAGAAACTGGTCAGTTTTGTCTCTTTGTCATCCTTAATTAATGCATAATAAGCAGTTATTAATGATTTATAAAGTGCTTATAGTGGAACTAATAACATATCTATAAACTATTTTTAGCCATCTATAAGGGGAGCCTTATTGTAAAGTGGTAACAATAGTTCTATAGTTGCTTTAAGCAGCAGTGGGTTCAGCCAAAAACAAAACCAGGAGGTAATTTCTGCGGCTGCAACTTTAATAATTTGTTTAACAACCCCAACACCTGCGTGAGTTTTCGGTTTTCTTTCTGTTTTTTTCTGGAACTGGTCTTCAGCGTGCTTCTGTAACTCCTGCTTACTTTAAGGTTAGAAAGCATCTGACACTCGCCACACTCTGCGTTTCTAACACAACTTGAAAGGTGCAAAGATTTAAGACATGTTTTACTAGCTCTAAAATAAAAACACCAGACACACACCAACACCTCGTATATCGTCATATTTTACTTTCTTTTTCCCGCTTTCAGACTCCACAGGAAAAAAAAAAAATTCTCACCCACACACGAAACGATGCCTGCAAGCGGACGCACATGTGCACATTCACGCTTTAGTATGCACACAGAATCAGCAGCGCACACTCAGACACCGATGTTTTTACCTCTCACAGCCAGTTTTAATCCTACACACGCGCACTCTCATGCATATTGCATGCTGCAGTGTAACCGACCACACAGCTGTATTACAGTTAGAGCTGCACACGTGTAGTTGACAGATGTCGAAGCTGGATTTTTAAAGAAACTCCTCCGCCTCGATTCATGAAAACCAGGGAGAAGAGATATTTTGATGAAGACTATAAAGGATTATATTGATTAATCCATTCATGCTTTTCCTAAAACTCTTTTCTTTCCCAGCTTTAAAAATATTTATCCTCATTCTGTCAATGACAGTTTCTCCTCGCGTCCTTTTTGTCCTTTTTCTATTCCTTCATTTGAGTTTACCCTGCTACTTTTCGTTTCCACCATATTTTTCTGTCAAACAGGAAGTGCTGCCAGACAGGAAGAGAGTGACGACTAGGAGCTATCTCCCCATCACTCCGGTCGACACTGACAGTGGCAGCAATTTCACCTGTGTGGCCAGCAATCTAGCAGTCCCGATGGGCAAACGAGTCACTGTCACTCTCAACGTCCACCGTACGTTACTTCGCTTCGCTGTCAGTTTGTTGAGATGGATAGGAGATTCTCAGGAGGCGAGCAGGTTTCATGGGAGACACGACACATTTTATTTGCATAGAATATCTAGTAGCACAGTCCTTAATTAATATTGGTCTGATTTCTGTAACATGTCAGTTTTGTTTTGACTCAAAATTTAAAGCCAATTATCGAACAAGAGCAGAGCAGCAGTTTAATTTCCCTCCACATGAAGGAAGCAATTATTTTTTTATTGTTATGAAGCTAAAAAGGAAAAAAAAAATGCATGAGGAAATTAGTTCAAAGAGACTGATGTGTTTTTTCAACTAGCTCTTGCTGTTAGTAGAAAATAAATGTTGCCTTTTGTTCAACCAGGGGTTCCCCTAAGTCTATCATCATTTGTTGTGTTTTATTTTTTATGAAACAAAAACAAAACAACAACAACAAAAAACACAAGATGGAAAATTTTCTATCAATGTAGAAAATAAAATAAATAATAATTCAATGGATAATAATAATTTTTTTTTTTTTTTTTATAAATTTTATTCATTTCATTTAAAAACATGACATTAAAAAACTAAACACAAGAGATATACATACACACACACATATATATATGTAAATATATATATATATATGTGTGTGTAAATAAAATAAAATGAAAGGTGGCAGAAGAAGAACTAGTCTCATGAAAACTGCCCCTTTTTACTTAATTTTAAAGTAAATCAAAATATTTTTACAAAATTTAAATTAAAATATAATTCACAAATATAATAACAATCTAGCCAAGTTAAAAACATAAAAATTCAAACATCTAAATCAAATCAGACAAGAACTTAAGTAGATTTATATTAACGATTTCCATATTCTTTCAAGAAACTCGTCTTTATCAGTCTCTTAAATGTATACAGTGATCTGGCATTTTCAACGTTATCATCCAAACCATTCCACAATCCTATTCTCTGAATAATAATAATAATTTTCTAAAATATATGTCCATAAACTTTTATTTAGTTTACAGTTTTGTTTCGTTTGTTTTCATTTCATGTCTGAAAGACAAACTGGACATAAATACAATATTTGAACATTTAGCTTTTAAAAATAAGTTTTGTAACCAGGTTGAGTTATAGAACAAGGAATGAAAACAGTTTAGAGGGAGATTTCAGATTTATTCTTTAACTCATATTTGATTCAAAAACACTTAAAATATCTGCAGCTGTTGGTTTATTCAGTTTAAATTTTCTCCTTTACGTTGGCTTTTTATTTGTTTATGTTTAAAAGAGGCTTTTTTTATTCTGAACTGTGTCAAAACCTTTTAAAATCCAAGTGTGTAACAGAAAAAATTTGTTCCACTAATACTGGAGAAAATGTGTTACAAAAGGAGAAATTACATTTTGTTTACTGCAGGGGTTCCCAACTCTGGTCCCTGAGGAACACCATCCAACATGTTTAAGTTGTTCCTCTGCTCCATCACATCTGATTTGAATGAAAGGTTGATTTACAGGCTTCTGCCCAAATTAAGGAATTAATTAAACCACTGAATCAGGTGAGTTGGAGCAGAGAAACAACTAAAACATGGAGGACGGTGTTCCTCAAGGACCAGAGTTGGGAACACTTTGCCTCAGTTTACGTTTTAAAATCTCCATCAGTTATACCCACTAAACTGCTGAATTCACTCAAAAGGTTGCTTTCCATAAAATTAAATAATTCAACCATCCATCCATTTCTAGTTGGGTTGTGGGTTCCACTCCCCAGCAACTTTTTCCAGCTTCTCCTAAGAAATCCTAAGGTGTTTGCAGGTTGAGGCGGTATAGAATCCCTTCAGCATGGTCCAGACCTGCCCCAGGGTCTCCTCCCAGTGGGACATGCCTGGAAAGTCTGCATAGAGACATCCAGGAGACATTCTGATCAGACTCCTGAATCACATCAACTGACTCCTTTGGATGCACAGGAACAGCTTTTGTACTCTGAGCTCACCCTGAATGACGGAGCTCCACACCTTATCTTTATGCCTGAGTCCAGCCACCCTACAGAGGCATCTCATTCCAACAACTTGCTCTTTCGGTCATTATCCACACTTCGTGACCATAGGTAAGTGTTGGAATGTGGATGAACCAGTAAATTGTGAGCTTTTCCTTTCAGCTCAGCTCTTTCTTCACCATGACATACTGGAGCAACGGCCTCATTGCTGTTGACGAGACCCCAATCTGTCAATTTGTCTCCTGCTCCTACCATCAGTCCTCCACTTGAGACTTACCCCCAACCTGGAGTGAGTTCTACCTGTTTCAGGTTTCTGAAGACTGGGTCCACTGAAGACGCCAACAGAACCAGACCCTGGGCTTCCCAAACCAGACACCCTCCTCTCCACAGCTGTGGATTGAGATCCTGTCCCTGAGCACCACAAACTGCAAACAAAGGGCAGCCCTCGCACAATCCAATCTGCACCAAGATCAAGTGTTCTTATACCTTTTAACATAGGTCAGATAAATTATGCATAAAAGTTTGTACCATTTTACTTTTAAAGAAATGTGCAACAAAGATGTTTAAGAAGGTTGGTTAGATAATCAGTCTAAACTCTGACGATTCATTTCATCCGTTTCTCTCTACATTAAACATTGAACTTGTGCCTTTCCCTGTGCAGACCCCCCCACGGTGACCCTTTCCATCGAACCCCGCTCCGTCCTGGAAGGCGAAAGAGTGACATTCACCTGCCAGGCTACCGGCAACCCTCCCATCATGGGCTACAGGTCTGATTAATGACGACTCACATGTTTACAGATATGTAAAGAGACGCGTGTCCCCTGAGGCGAAGCTAAAGTGAGATGCAGTAATTGACGTGTTGTTGCTCAGGCCTTTCTGCCACACTGATATGAGGCGATGAAGACCCTGTCCATCACTGTCAGTAATTGTGAAGTGTTGTTGAATTGCTAAACAAAATACTTTTCTGTGCTTTCCTTTCAAAACTGGTTTGGATGTGACCTTTTTCGAAGGTGATCAAATTAAATGTAAATGAAACAGATTTTTCAACCTTTTGAGAATAAATACTCAGAAATGATCTATTCCACTTCAAACCAACACATCCTGCTAAAAGTATAAATGACCTCATGCTTTTCAGTGTATTCAGGATGTGAGGAGGTTTGTTTGCAGCTGGTCCTGCAGTGCAACATTAGCAGCCTGATCAGATGATCGATGCCGATGTGTTTTCTTTCATCCACTACTTTCTGGCTCCGTGCACTCACTGGAGTTCCTGACTTGTAAATTTCTGCTTAGTGAACAAAATTGGTGAAAGTATTGAACATTTTTCCAGTCAAACACTGACTTTTATTGTAAGCGACAGCGCCGATGCACTGAAAATGCAGCCGAGGCTGGAGGTTTGAAACTCCATCAGAGAGGCTCCTAATGTGGGAACGCCGCCAGGTACTTATAGACGCTAAGCCTACTGAGTGTGCTTTAAAATGTCATCTAATGGAGAGTGTGCAATACGGTGATATGATTTTCAGCTAGATATTTGGCAAGGCACTTTATGGTTAACAGAGACTCTTGTTATTTATTACAGTTTCCCTTTGGGTTTCAGAATGAAGGCCTTTTAAAAATCATAACCTTCCAGATAACTTCCTGTTTAATGGTGGGAACGAGACATTTGGATCTGCACACCAACACATTTTGCTTTGTAAATCTCCCGCTGACGGGGCCGACACGGCTGTGATTTGTGGCGTTTGAAAATGTGTTAAAGCGCGTTGCCATGTGTTGTTCTGTCAGGTGGGCTAAAGGCGGCGTGTTGCTGGAGGGGGCCAGAGAGAGCGTGTTTGTCACCACGGCGGATCACTCGTTCTTCACCGAGCCCGTGTCGTGTCAGGTGTTCAACGCAGTGGGAAACACGAACGTCAGCATCCTCGTGGACGTGCACTGTGAGTAAACACTCGCGAGCTGAGTACGACGAGTTCATAGTGTGGAGGACAGCTTGAATGAATCTTACTAAGACAGTTTAACTCTTATTATTATTGTTTTAGAGCAGGGCTGTTCAACTGGCGGCCCAGGGGCCAAATCAGGCCCACGGTTGATCGCAGTTCGGCCCACTAATGGGTTCATTTTTAAATAAAACTAGATTTTAAACCAAAAAACTACTTTAATAACTGCTGGAAGTCCGGCCCCTGAGCTCTTGGCTTTCTGTAACTGTGGTTCCCTGAGCAATTTAGTATCTATTGACTAAGTAGCATTCCATTCTTGGGCACAAAGAAAAACCTTTCCTTAACTACAAGCGTCGCATAATCTTGAACACTTTTGAGGCATGGCAGGAATCCCATGCTTTGTTGGGATTAGACATCTCACTACTGAGAAAGGCCCCCCTATGGACTAATCCCAACATCCCATACCCTGTTGTGGATGAACTTTAAAGAAGTGGGCTAACAAAAGGAATTAAAACAGTTGATGACCTTTATTGTAACAACATATTGTTTAACTTTCAACAATTATTTTCAAAGTTCAACCTGCCACAAAACAACCATTTTAAATTTCTCCAAATCAGACACTGGCTTCAAGATAACCTGGCTAATTTCTAATGTATACCTAATGAATCTCCCCGCGAGAGACACCTGCTCGATACATGAATCTCTTCCACAAGAGGACTGATATCTTCTATAACGTTTTGAACAAAAATTGACTAATTTACGATAGACTGTCATTTAAAAACAAGTGGGAGACAGGCCGAGGTTGTAACTATGACGACACCGACTGGCAAACCATTTTAAACCATAAAACAAACTCAATGATAATAACTGCTGAATGTGTGGCCCCTGCGCTCTTGGCTTTCAGCAACTGTGGCCCCCTGAGCAGTTTAGTTGAATAGCCCTGATTTATCCCAGTTTTGCTATTGTTGGGTGTAACTGGGACCCTGTGTACATAATTTTGTTCCAGCTCATGTACCACGTGGTGAGAACGACAATAAACTTACTTGCACCTGAACTTTAGAGTTTCTAGTCAAATGATCGTCACGTCTGGTTTACCTCTTAACATGTCTCGTTGTTTTTTGAAGTTGGCCCAATTCTGGTGGTGGAGCCCAGACCGGTCACGGTGGACGTGGACTCTGACGTCACTCTGAACTGCAAGTGGGCTGGAAACCCTCCGCTAACCCTCACTTGGACTAAAAAAGGCTCCAGCATGGTGAGAATTAACCATCAATGCTTATTCTTCAAAATGCATTTTAAATTGCTCTTTCAGGAGGTTTGAATTAAGCCCAAATTATATAATTAGACTTCATAAATGTTTGCTCAGCAGTACTTGTGAAACTTTTAAAAATATTTAAATTATGCCTAACCATTAAAAAAAAAAGGCTTGAGGAAAAACTATTGGAGCCTGTTGAGAAAACCAACATGTTTTGTAAATTAAACACAGATTTCCCTCCTGCCTCTGCTCCTCCACGTCACAAACATCTTTTTTCTTTGTATTTTCTTACATGAATGTGCGTCCAGGTGCTCAGCAACAACAACCAGCTGCATTTGAAGTCCGTGAGCCAGGTCGACGCGGGACAGTACGTCTGCAAGGCCATTGTGCCTCGCATCGGCGTGGGAGAGACCGAAGTCACGCTCACTGTCAACGGTCAGTTCATGCACGCCTGCTTTGCTATTAATAACACAGCTGAAACCTGTCAAGTTTCAAGCTTTAACAACCAAACAGGAGCATGGGCAGTATTCAAGTTTGATGTCCTCAGAACTGAAATCATCCATTTTTTTTTTTTAGCAAAAAGTTCAGCAGACAGATTCTGAGTCACTCTGCGGTCTGGTTAATATTTTTTCTATTTATAAGCCCAGAAATTGCCAGAATTATCGCACCTGGAGGTCGTTTTCAGGAAAGTTTTCCTCGTTACGTGATGCGTTTGCTGATCTTTGCTGCTTCATATATTTTTTTCAGTTTTTCTGTGCAGCAATAAGCGTGTGTGCTTTAACTGTCTGCTGTCCGAGACATGTTTTGTAACAGAAAACAATAATTTCTGCAGGAAGTGTGTCCTTCCTGTGCTTTTCACTCTATTATCTCATGTGAAGTTAAGAATGATTCATACTGGATTTCCTTCTGTAAAAATGAGAAATGTCAGATAAAGTCTGCACCTGAGTCTCAGAACATCCTCTCATGTTCATGTGTGAAAAAAGCTTCTGAAATTCTCCCTTTTGTTAACTTTTCTTGGTTTGCTTTAATCAAAGCCTGATCCAAACTACAAAGTACAACAACAAAAAAAACTTTATCCTTATCTTTTCAGACCTAAATTGAACAAGTCAATGCCAAATATCCTCTATAAAGTACACTAATATAAACAATTAAAAACTGATTTGCATAGTGAACACTTTAAATATGGGGAGTTGTGGCGCAGAGGTTAGAGAAAGTGGGTCTGTAATCAGAAGATTGCTGCTTCAACAACATCAAAATATGGGTGGAAAGGTGAAGCACCTGCCTCTACCCTCATTTGCCCCGCTCTGTGCCCTTGAGCAAGGCCCTTAACCCCCACCATCTGCTGCCCCAGGAGCTCTAGATTAGTGTTGCATTCAGGCCCCAAAAAATCAAACACGACCCGGCCCCAGCCCATAGCCATCATTTCCGAACCCCGCCTGACTTGACGAATTAACAGTAATTACAGGTCCGAACCCGAAAACCCCGGCATTTTTAATTAACCTTGACTGCTTATATAGTTATTAATGGTCGGCGGACATGCGCAGCTGAATAATAAGGGGCAGAAGATCGGTGCTGAGGGGGTGTTTGTCCTTTCATGGTCAACAAAGCGCATTAAATCTCTGCTTTCTGCCTGCATTCTGCATTATTCAGACACGGACCATGCTCTGACATGTCTGCTTTGGGATCTCATCTGTTTGGGTCATCGGCTGCATGCGTCCGCTGAGTGCAGCGGCTGAACGTCCATTTGGGCAATGGGTCGCTGCCTGGCAGTACCGGTAGTCCTATCTGAAGCTTAACTGAACTTTATTTTACCTCTTTCATGGTCGGTCAGCTCGCGGTCAAATGGCCACGTGCAGCTAATAATTTTAAGGCAAGTCAAGTTGCCATATATTTGGAAAGTATGGCAAGCCATGTTGCCATATAATTAGCTCGTCAGCCGCGCGCATCCGTTAACTCAATGAAAAGCATCGACCGCGACCCGGCTCGCCCATCCAGCACATTATTATGACCCGGTCTGACCCGGACCGGGCTTCGGGCCCGGATTAGAAAAGACAGCTCTACCCTAGATAGCAGCTCTCTGCTCCACGCGGAGGGCTGTGGTAGCTCGGTGGTCTGTGGTTGCATCAGGAAGAGCAGCCGGCGTAAAAATAACCACCAAGTCTTCGTGCGACTTAGTTCGCCGGCGACCTCTGAAGAAGGGAGCAGCCGAAAGAAGAAGGAAAAAAAAATATTTGCATAGAGTTAAAAATTAATACAAGGCAGTGCTGGATTTTTCTTTACATCTACACTAACTGAGAAACCACTCAGCAAAAACTGAAAGAAAGATGGTAAAATTTATTGGCACATCTCTTCACATTAAACCCAAAAGCTTGGTGACTCATTGACCACTCGAGCATTTATTCACCAATAAAACTCCATTTTATGCCAACACAAATAAACCCCATATATTTACTATCTGCTCCATTTTAACGATCGTCTGAAAACCATCATGCATCATCAAAGTAAAGATAATTTACACTTTAGCCGAGTGAAGGCTCGGTTCATAACATTAGCTGGCATGACACAGCTAACCGTGTGCGACAACTTTCTCCGGGTTCAGCTGACACTTGGTTGAACACCGTCCTGCTGAAGAAACTCACTGGATTTATATCTCTGCATCAGATCTGTCCTGCTGGTTTCACAGATGCTCCCGTGCACGGTACTCAATCAGATCGTGTTCTGCTTTAATTACACTCCTCGCAGCAGCGTTACATCCCCGTAACTTTTATTTAGCCTTGCCTCATCACCGAACAGGGGACTCTGTCACACGGTTGAAGCGTTAGCACTCTTTCATTGAACGTGACAGAAAGCAGCGGCGTTACTGCGAGCAGATGATCTGTGACTTTACTGAGAGTGTCGGGGGGAAAAAAAGCAACAAATTAAAGAGTTTTCACTAAAAAAGGCTTTTTGTTGACGGTTCCATCAACAGCATTCACTTCAGGTTTTTGGACACATTAGGAAAAGAATCTCAAAGTTCTCCATTTTTATGTGACACATTAAAGAAATCTGTTTTATTATTTGCATTTTGCCCGTGTATGCGTCTTAAAATATCTTATGAACCTCTGGACAAATTTATGTGAAAAGTTCAGGAATCTGGCTGTACATCTACAACTGAAATTTTTAACCCAATTCAAGATGGCTGCCACAAGCTTAATAAAAATGGCTACAACTGTCATTTTTACAGACCCTATGCTAAAATTTGCTGTAGTAGTAGCTGAGACAGGAGGGAGCAGCCAAAAGAACAAAACAGAAGAAAATTTATTATCAGGATTTGAAGGTAAAACCCATTGAGAGCTAGACTGAGGGTAAACACTCAATGATTTATTTACAGTGAGTTATAGAACGGTATTATTTACAAGGAAGCCTGGAACACCTGAGGAGGGAGGAAATGGGGCGAGTCCAGGTTTATAGGAGAATGTTTGGTGAGTCTCAGGTTGTTGAACTCTTACTGGAAGACCTGGGCACGTTGAGAAGATGTAGAGGCAAGTAGTTGGGCTGGTGGTGGAAAGGCGGCTGAGCAGCTGAAAGTGAATATGGTTCCTTTGCAGACGCGAGGAAGTAAAGTTTCTTTTAGTTAACAAAACCAAGCGAAGGCTGATAGCAACTACCGATGGGCATGTAATGCTCCAGCATGGAAGGGAGCTCTCCTGCAGTCCTTTATACTCCTGGAGCTTGTTGGGAAGATCGCCCACAGCTGCTGCTCACTAGCGTCGCCCAGGAACCTGGGGAAAAAGCTGAATCCATACAGTTTTCAATGAGCATGCACGTTCAGCTGTTATTGTTTGGAGCCAGTCCAATTCAAGACGACCACTACAGCTAGACAACCTTAGCCAACCCCAAGCAACCTTTAACTCCATCACCAAAGTCCATGCTCAATAATCCAGGTATGAGATGACCTGAGTGAACACTGTTGCATTTTATACCAGGATTATTGAGCATGGACTTTGGTGTTTTGAACCAGTTTGACATGACTGTTGATTAAGGAGAGTGCGGGCACCGGAGGAGAGGGCGTGTCCCATAACGGTTCTTTCTTTTTCCACTTTGGAGTAGGATGTTGGGGGAGAATCAGTTTTGTTTGGTGTTTCCTCAGACTGATGAAGCCTTCTGGATGGAGGGCGAAACGGTCCAGATGACCTGACTGAACATTGTTGGATTTAACTCCATCAGTTTTACAAATATTGAGTTAAAAATTGATGAAGCAAAGTCTGAGAGTCAGCACTAACACATATTCTGTGCATGATATCTTGTGATATTGTATGAGACTGTGCATTTTTTTATTTTAAAGTACTGAATAAAACAGCTACAACTTTGATGTTTATCATCATCAAGTGGCCGGTCTGAACGTCTTTGTGGGAGATTTGCATTCTTTCAAGGAATTCTAAGCTTTTAATTATTATTCTGGTACCACTTTACAATAAGGCTCCCCTTATAGATGCCTAATAAATAGTTTATAGATATGTTATTAATCGTCTATAATTACTTTATAAATTAAATTAAATTGCGTTCAATTCAGTTTATTTATATAGTGCCAAGTCACAACAGAAGTCATCTCAGGGCACTGAACAAAAATCATTCATAACTGCTTATTATGCATCAATCAATGGAGACAGAGACAAAACTGAGCAGTTTGTTGCCAAATAATGAGACGAATCTGCCACCATATACATTTAATCTAGATTTGTTATATTAAACATTTCAGAATAAGTTACTACCTTGTAAGCACAATAAGCATTTGTAAACCTATTTCTTCCGCATATAATATTATACTTTATAACTGCACTTATAAGTATCTAATACGAACTAGTACAACTCTAGATGAAATATATAGGTGGACCGATTTGGCTCAATATTTGGCAACAAACTGGTCAGTTTTGTCTTTGTCACCATTAATTAATGCATAATAAACAGTTATTAATGATTTATAAAATCTTTATAGAGTACTAACGTATCTGTAAACTATTTATTAACCCTCTAAGGGGAGCCGTAACGTGGTTCCACTATTCTTGTTTTTTTTTTTTTTTTTACATGGTGCAGGTATGATTTTGCATCTATTCTTTTATATGTCTATAACCCAGTTCAAAATAGTTTTATAAAATGTTTGCTCATAAACACGTTTGATTTTGATTTCCTGTCTTTTGCTTGTTTGTTTCTGCTGTCATGCGACTCTAAAACCTTCTTGTCATCTTAAGTATGTGTTAGTAATCCTGTCTCTGCCTTGTCCTGTCTGCCCCTCAGGGCCCCCCATCATCTCCAGTGATCCAGTTCAGTACGCTGTCAGAGGTGAAAGAGGAGAGATCAAGTGTTACATCGCCAGCACCCCCCCACCTGATAAGATTGTAAGTCCATCCTGGGAGGCTGTAATCTGCTGCAGAGTTGTATGACCTTTTCAGATTGCATCTTCCTCACAGGGAGTCCTGATCACAGCTCCTCGTCAGTCTGGAAAACACTTTCTCTCTTTAGCTCGTGTCATTCGGGGCTAAAAGACGAGCATTGTTCTCCAAGTGTGTGAGAACAGGCTGTTCCTCCGCTGTGGTGGAAGATGTGACTCATGAAAACAGCTGCAGCGGTGTTTGTTTGAAATCAGAGATGAGACGCGATGAGCTCAAGATCCTGTGAGACTCGGAGTTAAATCAAAATGCTTGTCACAAGTTTTATTGTTACTAAAATGATTAGATTATTTACTCTTGTTGGCGACTATATCTAAAGGACGAAAATGTGTTTTAAAGAAGCTTATCTTAATTGTTACCATTCTGTAAAACAGACATTTATTCCTTTTTCTCATTTTTGTCATTGGTCTGAAATTTGCGCTGGAGATTTATGAGCTCTACAGGCATAGAAGGTCACTGGAAATCCTTCAAACAACTGAAAGCGCCTGATGGCAAAAATGGACACAGTCGATTAAAAAAAAAAAAAAAAAAGATGAAAAATAAACAAATTTCTTCACAAGAAAATCTCTCGCTTCCTAAAACTACTTTTGCCGTGAACGTTTTCAAAAATGTTCAACCTTTATAAAAGACAATATGAGTAACTTTGATTAACTTTTGATTTGATAGACAAGGCCGTGGGAAGTATGGGTGCAGTGGGTGCTGAAGGGGCTGCCAGAGAACATGCTCGTCACGATACACAAATGAAAAATTTATGAAAATCATGAATTTTTACGGTTAAATTTTTTTTATTAGCGCTATATTCATATAGAAATAATCCTAAATGTTCTCATACCAACATGCACATGTTTGAACACTCATATTAATCTATTTAGTGAGAACAGACAAACTAAATAAAAGGTGCACCTCTAGTTCAAGTGCTTTGGCTTGGGACCCGAAAGTCCCAGGTTCGATCCCCAGTCACTGCATATCACGTGGTGTCTCTGGGCAGCACACCTCATCCCCAAAATGCCCCCCCAGCGCTTTCAATAGCTGCCCACTGCACCACCTGGTGGTGGATGGGTTAAATGCAGAGACTAATTTTGCCATTGTATGGAAACATACAGTGCTGACATTGTGATGACATTATTATTATTATTATTATTATTTTAGTAAGACCGGTAATATATGTTTATATATTACCATACTTGCCACCATGCACGTTGCATCAGTCCAAGTAAGTGTCTAATAAAGTTGAAAAAACAAATGTGTCACTTCGCCATACAAGTCACATCTATTATGAGTCACCGCTGACAACCAGGAAACGTGGGCCGGTGTTGTGCCAAATATCGATGGGCTGCAAATTGCGGCCGCGGGAACGTGCACGGGAGGACTTTAACAAGAATTCAACAAGATTTACACTTTTAAAAACAATTATTTGTTTGCTCGAAATTATAGCAAAGGTGTGTCTCAGTTTAACTTTTCAAATCAGCTGCATTTCAAAAACCGATTTGCGGCTGCGGGAGCGCACAGAGGGAGGACTTGCTGTGCATTTCGTCGAAATTTAACAAGATTAACACCTAAAACGTTTATTTGTTTGCTCGACATTATAGTAAAGGTGTGTCTCAGTTGAACTTTTCCTTAATAAATTCACTTTAATGGTCAAATCAGCTGCATTTCGCCTGGGCGGCGCGGTGAAATGCAGCTGATTTGACGTTTGCTTCAGGAATTCCAGAGCGAGACGAAGGTGGCTCCCTATGGCAAGCCAAGTGTCTCATTAATAGCCACTTTTACTTATTAATGAGACATATAGCTTGCCATATTAGTCGAGGGCCCTCTAGTGGCTGAAAATGTTAGTGTTTAATATTTTCCATATAATGAATGAAATTGTCAGATCTCAGCCAAAAATTGGGTTATAAATGTGGCGAAAATGTATATTAATCGCTTCAGTGTATAAGTCGCAGGACTTGCAAATGCATGCAAAAAAGTGTGACTTGTACAGGTAAAACTATGGTACTTAGCCTAAAAAATTAAAAAAATAGTGCTTCACACTGCAGTTGTTATTCTTTCAGCTCCTCCTGAGCTACTTCCTCAGGGATCCCTATCAAACTCATGCAAAAGATGCTTGTCTTGACTCATTCAGTGCTCGAACCTGCAGCCTCAGGTTTATGAGGCTGTGGGTCTGACCACCAAGCTACCATAGCCCTCACACTGCAGCTGATAAAGTAACATGAAACCGATAAAACCAACGCAGAACTATGAAACATTATAAATGTGAAGGGTGTCTTCCAGTAAAAATCAATACCAGAAAAGTCTGATAAAAACTGAAAAAGCTCCAAAACAAAAAAGTACGATTTAAGAAGAGATTTAAAAGAGGTCACTGACTCTGCTGAGCTGATCTCCTCAGGCAGGTTGTTCTCCGCTTTAGAAGCTTTGACCGCAAACGCTCCTTCACCTCTCATCTATAGCTTGGACTCTGGAGCAAAAAAAAAAAACAACCAAAAAAAGTCCTTGCTGGAGGATCGCAGCCTCCGTGCGGGCTCACAGGGCGCGAAAAGGTCAGGTAGATGAGGTGAGAGGCCACCGAGAGCTGCACAAGTCACAAAATCTCAAAATCAAGAAGCTGTAAAGAAGCAACAAGGAAGTGAAAGTTGTCTTGATTCCTAGGTTTTTATTAAAAGCCTGGGAATTTTGACGTCTAACAAAGCTGTGAAAATCTCTGAGCCAAGAGGAGTTCTCTCTTCCTTGTAATGTTTAGACTTTGAAAAAGAACCGACAGTTTTTAACAGAAAAGGCATGAATCACAAAACATAGTTATTTAGTACTTTAGAAAGTGTTAAAACAATAAGGCTGTGCGTACACCGACAACAAATCACACACAAGCTTCATTATGTGTCTGTCAGCAAAATATCTCATGAAACCCTAATCAAGGAAAAAGGGTTGTTAATCATCCAGGCAGATAACAACAAAAAAGTTTACCGTAAATGTTGCACCACCGTATATATCGCATCAGTCCAAAAATGTCAAATACGTCACTTCGCCATTTAATTTGCATGTGTTATGCGTCACCGCTGACCACCTGCAAACGTGGGCTGGTGTTGTGCCAAAAATCGATTGGCTGCCAAATGGCAGCTGCGGGAGCGTGCACTGGAGAATTTTAACAAGAAATTTACAAGATTAGCACTTAAAAACAACTTTTTGTTTGCTCAAAATTATCGTAAAGGTGAGTCTCAGTTGAACTATTCCTTAATAAATGCACTTTGACGGTCAAATCAGATGCATTTCGCCGCGCCCAGGTGAAATGCAGCTGATTTGACGTTTGTTCCAGGAGTTCCGGAGCGAGACGAAGGTGGCTTGGTATGGCAAGCCAAGTGTCTCATTAATAGCCACTTTTACCTATTAATGGGACCCTTGGCTTGCCATATGACTTGGGGGCCTTAAAGTGGCTGAAAATGGTAATGTTCAATATTTTCCATGTCAGAATGAACGAAATTGTCAAATCTCAGCCAAAAATTGAGTTATAAATATGAGGGGAGAACCCAAATACATTGCTTCGCTGTATAAGTCGCAGGGCATGCTAATTTATGCAATAAACTGTGACTTATACAACAAAAAATATAGTAAATTTTGTCATCTGGACCAGTTTATTTAAGTAAGAAACATTTCATCCCCCATCCAGAGGACTTCATCAGTCTATGGCCTGCCAACCAGATCTGTCCCATAGGTAGCCTTCAGGAAACCCTAGATTCTAGGGTTTCCTGAATCCTTGCAGCTCCACATTAAGGTCATTCAACATGTTGGTCAAATCGGTTAAAAATGCTAAATCTAGCAGTCACTGATTGTTTTTAACATATCGGAAAAACGAGTCAGCAGCTTCAACAAAAGCCTCTTTAACCATCTCGCCGTCTTGGAAGGTTGTGCTTAACAATGAAGAGACTCACCTTGAATGATGCTTCAGTAGCTGCCTTCGCTTTTGTGGTCAGCTGTATGAAAAATGTCTGCTGTCCGGATAACTGGGAGTTTATTTCCTTTGACTTTTTCTTTCTCAGCTCACTTTTCAGAACGAAGTCAGTGTTGTAGTTTTTATGAACAGTCTGAAAATGCCGCTCCACATGTCCCTTCTTTGGAATAGTAATGGTAGACTGGCAGATGAGGTAAACGCACTTCGATATGACATTGTGGAATAAAACGTCCTCCTCCCATTCTGTATGGAAATGGTAGGGTTTTTTTTGCTTCCTACTTGGTCCAGCTCCCCCACTCATTTTATACCTTTCTAGAGTTTAGAAGAAATAAATTGGAGGCTAAATAGACAACTCGGTATCTTGCTAGATTTTTGCGTGGTTGTATGTGCATACGTGGTGACCCGTGTGTCAGAAAAGGTCAGGTCTCAGACTGGCTGCCCTGTATGTCAATCAAGTGACAAATTTCATAGGGAGGATTAAAGCTGTCATTTGTAACCTGAACCTGGAGCTCGGCCCAACCCGGATTAGGGCCAGGCCATAATAATGTGCTTAACGTGCGAGCTAGGCCAGTGTCGGCCATTTGACCGCGCGCTGACCAGCCTTGAAAAAGGTCAACTAAAAGTTCAGTTAAGCTTCAGATGGGACTATACTGCCAGGCGGCGATCCATCAAAGGGAAATGGACGTTCATTCATCCGCTGCACTCAGCGGACACGCGCGGCCGATGACCCAAACAGGTGAGATCCCAAAATATCCAACATGCCAGAGCAGGGTCCTTGTCTGAATAATGCAGAAGCAAGGATTTAATGCACTTTGACGGCCATGAAAGGACAAACACCCCCTCAGCTCCGATCTTCTGCCCCCTTAGCTACGTGCGTCCGCTGACCGTTAATAACTACATAAATAGTCAAAGCTTAATTAAAAATGTCCAGTTGCTTTTTCCAGGTTCGGACCTGTAATTACTGTTAATTCATCGTGTCGGGTGTGGTTTGGAAATGATGGCTACGGGCTGGGGTCAGATCAGATTGGATTTTTGGGGCCTGAATGCAACTCTAGTGAGGATGGATTATTGGCTGATGTAAATTTTTTAATTTCATGCCAGCTACCCATACTACCGTTGCGATGGGCCAGTAGATCGCGATCGACGTGTTGGGCACCCCGGTCCTAGATGGATGGATTTCAATTAAACTTCCAGAAAGTAATTTATTGGCTATACATCTACAATTAGAGTTTACACAATTCAATATGGCGGTCACAGCTACATGACCATATAAAAAACACAAAAATGGCTAAAACTTAGTTTGACAGATATAAAGTTAAACTTTGATGTGGTAGTTGATGAGACTCACTCACAACACATTGACTGTAGCATCTTAAGCTACCATATAAGATTATGAACAACTTTATTTTTAAGATTTGGTCATAGTGTCTTTGACTTCATTTCTCACCATAAGATGTTAGTGTAAAACTTCTGTTTTTATAAAAACGACATACAGTCCTTCGAGGAATGCTAGGCCTTTGTCTTGTTGACTTTTTCAAACCTACCTTTTTAAGGATACAGTAAATGCCATAAATAAGTAAATTCAAAAACACTTCATATGGATTTTCTTAAAATATGAAAAGCAGGTTTTATAAAGTACCTCAAACTTTTTTTTTAAGTCACAAAAACAAAATTAGGGACTTCGAAACCTCACGACGGTAGCGTTTGCTTTAAATTTGGTGCATCACCCCCCACGTCTCCTGCGGTCCTGCAAAGACAACTGTTAATTTTAAAGACGTATTGATGTGATTGTCCAAAGGAAGACGACGTCGATCGTTCAGAAGACGTTCTCGTGTGGCGTCCTCTCAGAAAGCTATAATTTAATATTCCCTTGAATCTTACACAACAGAAGTGGCGCCCACAGTTTTTATTTCTGTCTCTTCCTGAAGGCACTGGGAGCTAAATTTGATAAAACTGCAATTTATTTTAAATTGAATGCTATGTTCTGTACAACATGCTATATGAAGAATATTAAAAATGTTCTACGATACCAGAGAGAAGCGTAGAAATAAGAATAAATGTATTATTTCTGTTTGAAGGTTGTGGTGCAATAGATTAAAATGGGAGGGCGAGATTGAGGGAGAGTAATATTTTGCACCTTTCAGCGTCAATTATCCAATTGTGCAGCGCCAACATGACAGAAATCAGAGCTTTTAGAGCGATTCAGCCCCCTGCTGCAGAGCCAACGAGCCCAGAGCGTATAATGCGATACGACATTATAGTCTAGGCTTAATGCAGAGACACGGGGACTCATAAAATATGGAGCGTAGTGCTGCGTGTGTGTGCTCGCAATGAGGCGCTGACACACTCAAACAAAAAATGAATTTTAAAAACTGCAAACAAATGGTGGAACATATTTATTGTTGGGAAAAAATTGGAGGAGTCGACTGTGGCAAAAGACAAAACGTGTATTTAACAAGACTGTCAGAAGAAATAAAATAACCTTTTGAGGATATTTTGGATTTATTCTTTGTTGCGTCTTGCTCGCGGTCACCTGGATTTAATTTTTTCAACATCGGCTAAATGATACATTGGTCTACAACAAAGATCGAGCACGCTTTGAAAGAATTTTTATTGCCTGCTGCTTTTCCTGCCAGGGGTTTGGGCTAAAATCATTTTATGATGACAGGTATATTTGTAGCGTCTTATTTTAATCACTGAAAACAACGTAATGCTTTAAATTGTGTCAAACTCATAAAATGGATTGTGAACGACCCTCCGGTACTACCACATCAAATTTCAGTGTAATATCTACAACACATGCTGACCTATAGCTGTTTTTGTGTTTTGTGAAGTTCGTTAGCTGTGGCAGCCATCTTGAAATAGATTGTCTGCAAACGTTAATCAGCTCTACATGTACATCCAGTAAATATTTCTTGAAAGTTTCAGCGAAATCATAAAGTTGTTCATGAGATATTTTGCTAACAGACTTAGAGGGTTAACTTGAATAACTTATTTTATAATAATTTACTTTAAACTCAGACTCAGTTAAGTGCTTTCAGTATAAGTGAGGGATTTGCCTCAATTAACAAAACAAATTCTATCCTAATAGCTTAAAAATAGACTAAAGTTATTTTTGTTTTTCCCAAGGTTGATTAGCTGTGGCAGCCATCTTGGATCTTGACTCCCAACAGTTAATCAGCTGTAGATGTCAACTCAATAATTACTTTCTGAAAGTCTCAATAAAAGCCGAGATGCACACACAGGCATAAACCTGCTCTGCCCTCACCTTCAGCAGCAGGCGATAAACACGGCTGTATGTATATTTGATGGCACCCCGCTCCATTTTTAATATCCTGAAACCTCCACCGTGACGGTTTTAAGTGACAAAACCTGCCTTGGATTTTTACACCCGTGTACATTTGTTGCGCTGCGTGTCATCAGTGTGCGCTGATTTATTTATGGGGAATTCGTTTCTTCCCCACAAGTTTTAATTAGGTCGATACTTCAGGAGCTTCAGGATAATTAGTTTCTCCGTTTGCCTTAACCTTTTTAGCTCCGGCACATCTGTCTGCTGGGTGTTTACTCCTGACCGCGTGTGTCTGGATGGAACTAGCTCGTGGTTGACGCCGCTTAGATACGATAAAGTGAAATTAGCATTATTGATCCCTGAGGTTAAATGAGAGGACTAAAGTGGAGTTTAGATAAAAATCAAACAAAGCGAACACTGGATATTTGACACAGATGTTTTATCTGTTAGAAGGAGCAGATTTGAACTTGTTTCCACGTCTTGATTTGAAGATCGTCCGCTTTGTTTCCTCGCAGGTTTGGGCGTGGAAGGAGAACGTGTGGGAGAAAGAAAAAGGCACTTTGATGGAGAGGTACACCGTGGAGCAGAGCAAACCTCAGGCGCAGGGAGGGGCGGTCCTCTCCACCCTCACCATCAACAACGTCATGGAGTCTGATTTCCACTCTCCCTACAACTGCACCGCCTGGAACTCCTTCGGACCTGGAACCATGATCATCATCCTGAAGGAGAAAGGTTTGTGGGGGGATGCACACCTGAGCAGCAGGCACGCGGTAGCTGGAGGTGATAGGAAGCTCAGACACTGAAGTATCCCTTAAACCAAGTCAAACGACTCCAAAAGTATTGGGGTGTGTAAAATGTATGTAGAAACAGAATGCAGTGATTAGACGGGAAAGTCTTGTTTAATGTAGGATTCTTCAACAGTCCGGGGTCTTCGTTGCAGTATGTGAGCATCCATTGTTCTAAATCCTTCATGTAATGGTTTGCATTGATTCTGCCTTTCCTCGTGTGTCAGCGTTCCATGTCAGAGAACCTAATGCACCCCCATACCATCAGAGAGGAAGGCTATTGAACTGGGGGCTGAGCTCGTCCCCGCTTTAGTAACAAGGGCAGGGTGTCTGTGGCCCAAAAACATAAATATAAAATTCAAATTTCAGTGTTTCTGACCACACAACAGTTCACCACTCGGCCTCATTTCGTTGTAAGTGAGCTTTGACCCAGAAAAGGCAGCAGCATTTCTGAACAGTGTTCACGTAAGGCTTCTTTTTTTTAATGATAGAACGGTGACATTTTAAAGATTGCTCCAGATTCTTGGAATATTTTGATGATATCAAGTTTTTTTATTTGGGTGAATCTATGCCTGGCTTTGATTCCAAGAAAATCAGCCTCTTCTGAGTGAGCTTTTTAAACTGAGTCCTCTTACAGGCCTGTTGCCAGTTAACCTAATTTGTTGCCAAATGCTCCTCCAGCTGTTTCTTATTTGTACCACTTACATTTACAGCCTTTTGTTGCCCCTGTCCACATGTTTTAGGAATGTGTTGCTAACATCAAAGTTAAAATTAACATTTTTAAAAAGTGGTACAATTTTTTGTTTTAAACGTTTAACGTGTTTACTATGTTCCAATGGGAGTAAAATATGGGTTTATGAGATTTGTAAATCATTGGATTCTGGTTTTAATTTACATTTTGCACAATGTCCCAACTTTTAGGGAATGAGGGTTGTACATTCATTCATTCAACCTTATTTAAACAAATAAATCACATTAAGCCTCGAAGACTCATTTACAATTGAGACCTGTGCAAACAATGTACAAACATTATACTAATATATATATATATATATATATTAGCTGTTTTGTAGGCTAATTGCATCTTCGTAGCACGTAAAATATAAACACAGACATGTCTGAGAATAATTTAAAATAAACTGTAAATATTAGATAGATTTGGTTGCAGAACGTAATTTAAATTTAAACAGAGTTCATAAATGGTGCAAGCAGCACGTTTTCAAAATTTCTACTCATATTTGCAGATTTCTTTGAATTATGATGATTTTTTTTGTAGGCGAGTAAGTCCCAAAATTGCTTTAGGAGACAAATAAAGACCTGCAATTTGCATGTTAGGTATGAGATGTGCTTTCAAGCATATACTGATCTCATTTATGATCCAGGAGATCATTTTTAATTGATCTTTTTGTTTTTCTGCTTTTTCTCTGGGCTGTAAGTAAAGCTCAGATGGACAAAGATGTTACTGATGCAGGAAATCAGTTCGACAGTTCATGGGCTTTTTTCAGTCATCTTGAAAAGCCGGTGATGAACCTGAGTTTTGAGCCATTAAACTCTTAAATAATCAAACAATAATAAAAAGTTTGTCATGTCCTTGTAGCTGCTCCTTTTTTCCCCCCATACAAACTAAAGCGCACTTGTTAGTGTGTTCTGGTTGTTTTATTACGAGACGTTTGAAGCATGAAAACAAATTGGATCAAATGTTTTCTCCATGCTCCATCAGTCTCATCTCACTCTTACTCTCTCAGCTGCCGTATTCCACAAAGCTCTACAAAAACCATTTTTGAAAGGGAAGCAGAGTTTGGATCTGTCCTCACGTTGAAAGTGTTTTCATCCCTTGTCGGATGAGAGTGCCTTATCAGCACAAGCAACCCTCAGAGACTCAGCTTCAAGCAAGGACACAAAAGGATTTAAGCTTAAACTGTGCAGCAGCCGCAGAAGTTTGTGCAGCGCTGAGGCAGCAGCTGTCCCTCAACCCCGACCCTTCTTCTGCTTGTGTTTGTTTCAGAAATGTATCCAGTGGGAATTATCGCTGGCGTCGCAGTGGCCTCCTCCATTCTGCTGCTCCTGCTTCTGCTGGCGCTCGCCTTCTTCCTCTACCGCCAACGCAAAGGCAGTGAGTGTTCTTTATGTTTGTGTAAGGCCATCACGCTCTTAGACTGTCTGTCAGTCTCTTCTTTCATCCACCGTCCTTCTGTCACTTTGCTTTTCCACGATGAAAGTGACATATGCCAGGCGCGCAGGATTTTATTCAAACGGGATTAATGAATATTCATAAAATGTGGCAATCGGCCTCAAATCGCCCACTTTGTGTTTTCATTTCCCTTCTGCTGACGTTGGCTTGTTTGAAATTTTTGGGGATATTTATTGGGTGTGCCACTCGTACACAACATGAAGTGGCCACATAAATAGGAGACCTTAAAACAAAAGCATTAAAAGGTGAATAGTATTTAAATGATGAATTCTATATTTGTATTATTTCTGCAGCCTGAGGCAATCCAATTAGTATTTCTGAACACGGCGCACGCTTCCACAGAAAGCAGAGATCTGAAACCATGTGGCGTCTTTCAGATGTTTAATTTTGAGCTGCTTCCCTGCAAATAAAGAAACGACGGGAGAAGACAGTGAAGGTGACTGGCAGAGTCCCCGGAGGGATTTTATAGGGATAAGGGTGCATTCGCTGGTTCAGAGCTGATAAACGCAGCTACAGAACAGATATTGTTTCGAAATAGAAACTCAAACAAACACTGTCGTGGCTCCAGATAAACACCGTCTTGTTTGTCGCCGACGATGAAGCTCGAGACTTCACAGGCGAAAAGCTTTTTCTTTTAAGGTTCGGGGCTGCTCAGTGGTAAAGATGTGACAAGCTGAGGGTTTTAGGATGACAAGAGAATATTGAACACAGGAAGACTTTTATTGCACTAAAAACTAAACTTCTGTAGGTTTTATTATGGAGAAGTTAAAGCCTTTGGAAATATCGATAATATATTGGTTACCACAGATAGGCAGCCTTAGCAAACACAAAAATGACTATAAATCAGTTTTACAATTACAATGGAGTTAGTGGGAGAGATCGTATCTCTCCAGTTTTAGCTTCTCTCCACTGGTTCCCTGTCAAATTCAGAATTTAATTCAAAATCTTACTTCTGACCTACAAAGCTCTCAACAACCTAGCTCCATCTTATATTCCAGATCTTATTGTTCCTTATTTTCCTAACAGAGCACTTCGCTCTCAGACTGCAGGTTTACTTGC